TGTTCAACAGAGCTGTGGGTTGTAAAGAAGGGGCTCGGCCCGGTGCCAGCCGCTTACTGTCAGCTCCTCTCTCTGTATCTGTACAGATACAGGGGCAGGGAGATGCTTTGCACCCCACAAGCTCAGGCGCATGTGGCATTTCTTTGGGAGACTCACCCGGAGAACAAGCAGCCCGTGGTAAGGCAATGGGGCAATTTAGTCTGCCATTTAAATTCTGTCTCCGTAGTACGTGTGCTTGGAGCGCAGGAGAGGCTGGCAACTCTGCGAATTGAGATGGAGCTGCCAAGTGAGGGCTTTCGAGGTGACGTTGTGGTCAACGGAGCGAAGGAGGAGGAGAAGGAAGCGGAGCAGCCGGCTTGGGGAGGGCTGTGTGGAAACGTGGTTAATTGTAGTACAAACCCTCGGCGAGCCTGTTCTGTCATTTGGTGTGCACGAGTTTCTCCTTCCATGCTCTTCACCCAATTCTTGGCAAATTAAGAGCATTTCTGAGACCCTGTCCCCTTCCCGGGGGAGGTGGGCTCATCTTCCTTCCTCCATGGAAAGGTTTTGCTTTGCCGTTGCCCAAGTGGTGCCAGTGGAGAGGATGCAGCTGCTGGCTTTGTTCTCGTGCTGCCTGCATCTCCTGAGAATTATCTCAAGCCGGCTGTGATTTGGTTTTTAGTGTGGATGTGGTGCTGCCCTTTCTACTCAGCTCGCTCTTTCTCGGGTGCTGTGAGATCCCTGCTGCTTGCAGGCTAAATCCCCGAGTGGAACAATCTGGAGTTTGTTTTCTTTAGTATGAAATATGTAACTTGGCTTGTAGAAGTGGTTCTCCCATCCTTCAACCATCTGCTCCTTCTAAAATATATTTCTTTGTTCTGAACTGAAAGTGAAGAGTGCATTTCACATTGTTTCGAGGCAGAAGACCTTTTGAGACAAAGTATCTCCATCTTCCTTTCAGTTATTTTTTTATTTCAATTTTTTTTCAGAACAAAAAATGTTGCTAAAATCAACAGTTTTGTTTGTGTTTTTTTCTTTCCATAGATGTTTGCAGCCTGTCCAACCTGGCAATGTACAGCAAAGTTTTCTATTTGACAAAGCAATGACTTGGGGGTGCAAATCCAGCCCATTCAGGCTCTCCCAGGACAGAGCATCCCCTCTGTGCTCTGCCTCGCGGGGCGTCGCTGTCCCCGCTGCCTGTAGCTCACACGTGCGGTTTGGGTGCTGTCGTGGGGCTGCAGTCCCAGGAGTGGGAACACCCCGAAATGGGGCTTTTCAAGGTTTTCTGAGCAACTGGGCTGCAGCCTGGCATGGGGAAGGCTTTGCCAGGAGGTGATGGAGGGCAGCTCGGGGAGCAGCACATCCCTGCCCCACACTGCCTCTTGCTCGTGGCCGGTGGGAGGGAGCTGGTCTCCCTGCTGAGGCTCACCTGGGGGTCCCAGGTGATGCCTGGGATGATACCTGGTCAGCTCACAGGGCTGCCGGCTCCCCAGCACTCCTCTGCTCAGCTACGAACGGCAAAGCCTTCATGCCCTTGTGGTACGGTTCAGGGAGCAGAGCAGAGCATGTATTTCTTGCCTTTATTTAACGTTGTGTGATGCTGCAGAGGCAGGGTGCAGGCAGCGTGCCTTGGCACATCCAGCCCCGCGCTGTGAGCTGCCCTGTGGGGCTGCTGCTGTGGTTCGGCAGTTCCCATCCACCCTGGATCCCTGGAGCGCATTGCACCATGCTCGGAGAGCCAAACGTGTGGGATGCCGGGGGTTAGCAGGGCACAGTGCTGGGGGAAAAAGGCAAAGGATGAAGTGCCGCTTGGTGTGTCTCCTGCTTTGCTAACTCTTTCTTGGTCCCCTCCAGGTAAACTTCAACGAGCCGCTCTCCATGCTGCAGAGGCTGACGGAGGACCTGGAGTACCACGAGCTGCTGGACAAAGCGGTCAAGTGCGAGAGCTCCACAGAGCAGATGTGCTTTGTCGCTGCGTTTTCGGTGTCTTCCTACTCAACAACTGTCCACCGCACCGCAAAGCCATTCAACCCGCTGCTGGGGGAAACCTATGAGCTTGACCGACTGGAGGAGTTTGGTTTCCGTTCCCTGTGCGAGCAGGTGAGCTGGGGTCTGCGGAGGGGCTCTGCGTGTCTGCCTTGCTGCACGTCTCCAGCCAAAGCAGCACTTCCCTGAAGGACACCCAGCATCGCCTCGCCCTGAGCCATCCTCCTCGCCGAGACAGCCAGCGGTTGCTGTTGGCATTGGCCAAAGCAGCAGCAGGCGCAGCCCAAGCCGTTTTGGAGAAGCAGAGTGTGCCCATCCCGGTTTTGCGGAGCAGGAGGTGGGGAGGAAGGGGAGAACAGTGTCCATCACCCTGCCTGGTCTCCTGGCAGCCTGCCTGGAGCTGGGGCTGCTGTCACATCTCAGCGCTTGAGCAGAAAGGGAGAAGCTCTCCTCACCCGAGCTCCCTCGTCACTCTGCAGTGATGCCTCCAAACTGTGTCAGGGTGTCTTTGGGCTGGAGAGTGGCTCAGGGTCTCGTTTCTTTCTTAATGGACTGAAAAGTTTTAGTTTCACAGCCTGGGGGCAACCTGAGAACTTCTGACAGCCCCGTGCTCTAACCACAGAGTGCATCTGGCACACATCGGTCAAACAGCAGGTCTTAATTAAAAACCTGGAGTGCTTAATGAGTTGTGACCTGCGAAGAAAATCGATTGTTTAATACTTAGCACACTTGGCTGGTCCATCCTGGATTCCTGGGGAGGGTCCAGGCCATTTATCACCCCTCTCAGGCAGGACATCACTTTGGTGGGGGCTCTCTGTTCTCCAGGGGGTGTCTGTGCTGTCTTGAGGACAGAGCAACTGTCGCATCTTTCGGTGTTTGAAAGCATCAAAGAAAATCCCAAACCTCTGTCACTTTGCAGAGCCCGACACAGGTCCAAGGTCTGCAGAGCTGTTCAGCAGACCATGCCCTGAGACCTGGGGGCTTTTTGGAGGGGCATTGCATGAGAAAAGGGTCTTGCTGCTGACCTGGCCATGCTGTGCTGTGCTATGTGGTGCTCACAGCAGATGTCAAACATGTGGACAGGGCATGCTGAGAATATGCAGTGAGGAGGCTGAGGCTTGCACCAGCATCCCTGTGTCCCCTTGAGGTAGTTTAGCTTTTCTCTGCCCCCTTGCTCATGACCAAAGGAAGGCTCCTTCAGTAGATAATCTCCAAGATTTGTGTCTCTGCTGTCCCTTTGCACCATCCAAAGCTGCGTGCCTGATGTGGGCCAGCTTTGATCATCCCCAGTGATGCCCATGTGGTCTGTTCCAGTCTTGGGAGCTTGTGCCCTTGGCTGCAACGACCCAGGACACTGCCATCCAGGGTGTGATGAGCTACAGCAGCGAAGGTGCCTCCCCTTCCTGGTCTGCCCGGCACCTTGCCTGCTCCTGAGAGGCAGATCAGAGGCAGCAGCATCCCTCCAGGCATCCCCTGGCACTTCGCTGTGAATGTCGGAGAGCTCAGGTTCACCCACCTCAGCAGCATCACACCTTCACCTCCCCTCACCCAGCAGCGGTTCCCTGGCACAGCCACACTCCCCAGCTGGCTTTATGCACAGCAGAGGGAAATTCAGGGTCTCTGTTCTCCAGCACCTCCCTGGTGCCCTGTCTCCCTGGGCTGTCACCCTGCTCAGCCCAGTATATATGAAGTGGGTGATGCCTTACCAGGGTGCCCAGTCCATCCCTTAGCCAGCACCACCCCTCATCTTCCCGGGGTATGCTCAGAACAGCAGGGTGGGTTTGTTACCCTCATTCGGGCTGCGGTGATGAAGCCTGGTGCTGCCTGTCGGGTACCGCTGGACAGCCCTGACCACGTCACTCCCACACCTTGTCATCCCTTTTCTCATTCCTTCACCCTCCTTCCTCCATCCCTGTCCCCTCCCAAATAAATAACCTGCCCTGAATTACTTTTTCTGGTTGGTCCTGGTTTTCCTCTGTCTGTACCCAAACTTGGTATTTCTGACACCTCCATGTTAGCTGAGCTGCAAGCTGGCCGGCACCCCTGGGTGCAGTCCTCCTGCCTGGTCCCCGAGTCCTTCCCTCGCTGGCATGGCACATGAGCTCCATCTGAAATGAGGTTTGCTGTAACTTGGAGCAAATCTGCTCTGTTGCAGCAGTCTGGAGCCTTCGGTCCATGAGTGAAGCCTCTAAATCTCCCTCCTGGAGCCATCTCAAAGGGGACATTCGGTGACAGCGCAGCTTTGCACTGGCGCAGTGTTGCCAGTGCCTCTTGCCCTGGTTGCTGCGGTTGGTGTGGGCAGCGTGGGATGGACAGATGGACACCCTTCCCACCGCTCTGAACTTCCTTGGGTGCTGCTCAGCCCGCCCATGTGCCGAGCAAGGCGTTGATAATCTGGTGCCTGAAATCCAGTTATCCAAATAGGATTTTCTCCTGCTGGTGACAGTGGGATTTAATGGAGAGGTTTTTGCTCTGCTCACGTTTGTAATCCAGTAGCTTGGGGCGCTCAGCCTGTAATTACATCGGTGCAAATAATCTCCGAAGTCGGTGGTGTGGCCGTCGGGGCCCAGTGGTTTGTGGGTTCCCGGTGATGGGTGGTGCGTGCCGTGCAGCAGCACCGTGGGTCGGCTGGGTGAGACTCCGTGTGAGGGCAGAGCCCTTTCGTTGGGATGTCCGGCTCCCACCTTGGGTTTTGGCAGCTTTTCCAGTGCAGGGCAGCGTGAGCACCGTCCTTTTACAAGTCATCCCCGGGGATGGAGGATGTCGTATCTGCTCTTCCAGCCCAGCGTGTCTGTAGGGGCAAAGCCAGAGTCTTGGCTGGGCAGGTCCGTGTGTCTCGGACAATGTGGGGACCTGCGACCCGGGAGTTCCCAGGCAGAGCAGTGGGAGCCGCTGCTGGTAGGAGAGGTGCTGTTACACTGGGATTACTGGGGATCTAGGCTGGGGGTCAGGACATCCCTGTTTCTCAACCATGATCCCTGGAGAGCGGGACCGTGTCCTGGGGTCACAGTACAGCATCATCTCACAGCGATAGTTGCTCAAGTTAAGATTTTCCGGATGATGCTTTGCTAATGAGCCTTAGAAAGTGCTGGCAGGAGCTCGGTGCACCTCTGCGTGCTGCCGGGGTGCCTCATGGGAGGTCACCCCGATGCCCAGGAGAAGGCTGGGGGGTTCAGGTCAGCACAGCGGAGCATCCTCGGGGCCCAAGCTGGCGTGGAGCTGTTGCCTCTCCAAGAAGTCGTGCTGCGAGCGCTCGCCAGGGCTCTCTGTGGTGCCAGTGGCTGTGACCTTATGGGCTGTTTCTCCTCTCCCCCAGGTGAGCCACCACCCTCCGGCAGCCGCCCATCACGTCTACTCCAAGCGAGGGTGGACGTTGTGGCAGGAAATCACGATCGCCAGCAAGTTCAGGGGCAAATACCTCTCCATCATGCCGCTGGGTAGGTGACTTGTGCCAAGAGGATCAGGGCTTGCTTTTTTTCCTGCGCTGCTCCTGCAGTACCCAAGAGGTTAAAGCAACGTGCCGGTGCCTCGGGCTCACGTAGGGCTTGGTGAATTCCACCCCCAGCAATGTAGGGAGCACAGATTTGTGCTCTCAATCACAGACAATCTGATGATAACTCCTCTGCCCTGGAAATGGAAATGATGCCAGCTGCAAAGGGAGACTGCTTTGCTTGCTGCTAGCACCATAGTGGATGTGCTTTGGAAATATCGTCCTTGCCCAAGAGTTGATTTCTCCTTAAATGATATTTATAGGTTAGCTCGCTGCCTGTTTTAACCCTCTCCCTGGCAGCCAGGTGCAAGAAGCTGCCTCCTTCCAATGTTTTATTTGCCTTCTGCCTGTCCCTGGCCTGGGCAGCGCGGGGGGCTGGTCCCAGGGCTGTGCTGGTGCCTGGCTAGTCTCCTGACACTGGGAGTCAAGCAGGCAGCACGTTTCCAACCTGCTTTTGAAATGAGGGCTTTTGGGGGGGTGGGAAGGGGGCAGAGGGCCTTGCGGGCCTTGCAGCTCCCTTACTGCAGCAGAGCATGGAGCCTGCAGCAAGGGGAGGGATGAATCCAGCCCCAGCCCCGGTTGGGGGCTGATGATGGGAGATGCAGGAAGAGGCGCCAGGGTGCGAC